ACCATCACAAAGATTAATGCCAGTCTTATCTAATTATGTTCCTGCTTTACATGCACAGCAGTCATCATCCATTCCTGTTTATTATGTGTATCTGGGTTTGAATAGAATTAAAGTATGAAATAAATGGCACTGATTTTAAAGCCATAAACATTTGCTATTTCTATATTTGGTGCTAGAATTTATGGTGATTTGATATGTTTTACTGTTTAATTGTTGAGGTTTATGCAAGTTGGGTCAAAATGCAGATGATATGCCGTGCAAATTTTTTAACAATAGAAAGGCTGATGATGGGTGTGGACAGTGGTGTTTCCAAAAACACACACCAGACGTGCCACCATTTTCTCCCAAGTCCAAAAACTATCCTGGATACCAACATTGCCATCTTGTGCATTTGGAGCCAGAGTGGCGAGGTCCTGCTGATACCACTACAAGACTATCAGTTTTACTATAAATAGTTATGTTTCAAATAATTGTTCTATTCTTTAAACTATGGAAATCTTTTCTCCCAAATTCAACAGACACTGGATTGAAATGGTTGCCGTACATGAAGAGATGCAGATTTAAGACAAATCTGGGCTGGTGTCTATATGTGATTCTGGAGCTACATGTGTTCTATCAATCATGAGTCAGTCTCAGCTTTCAGTCATGATATTTCAGCTTATTTTATAGCATCAAATAACAATTCATGCAGAGATTATCCCTTGAATGTACAAAACTAGCTAGAGAAGGTGGGATTTATGACCTCTACTGAAGTCACGCTTTGGTTTCACTTTGTTCATGTCCTCCATCTTTATATATAGTCACTGGGGGGAACTCATCGGAGAAGATGGCAAAATATGAACGGATAAATAAAGGAGAAGCAGGGAAAACAGGAACTTTTGAATCACACCAGAACAAGACGGGCAACTCAGAGGCAGGATCGAGCTAAAAACACAGTCTCTTCGAGGTAAAAAGGTTCAGTGGTCTGGCAGTCAGTTCTATCAGCATCGAGTATCCAATAATCAGCAGGCAAAGGCAAAAACCACAGGAGGGGGGGCTAAACTGGTTTTACACAGAGAAGAGCTAGAATGCCGAACATACTGAACAAACACTGCACTCTGGAGTTTCTCCTGCCAGCGCCCGAATAAGAAGTCAGCAGAGAGTCATTGTGAGAACAGGGGATCCGACTGAATTAGGATTCAAACCCTCTTGCTGTGAAGCAACAGTGCTAACCACTGTTACACCGTGCCACCCACTTTACTTATCAAACTATCTAAATTAATGAGCTCGACAGAGATAAAAACACAGAGAGTGCTGGACTCATAAAAGAAAATAGTCTCATAAAGTGTGAGGCTCTCTGTACTGTAACTGATGATTCACAGATGTTTTACAGCCACCATTAAGCACACAGTATCATCCTGACAGTTCACTGAAGTTAAAAGCTTTCTGCTGCAGTCAGCCGTGAAAGGAGGCAAACGCTGTTGTCTAGACGGCCACGTGGAAATAAATGTATTAAATACTAAATAATAGCACCAATACTCAAGTAGCACTTTTAAAACACAAGCTGCAAGACATTAAATTTGAACAAGGAAGACAATTTTGAGTCAGCCGTTATCTACAATGTAGCTCAGATTAAGAGCTGAGGAGAAGCCGAGGATGATAATGAAATGAAACACAGTTTTGGTGCGAGTGAGAAAAGGAGACCCATTAGAAGAAGGATTCATTTGATGGATCAAATATTGTAATCATGCTCTGTTTAAGAGTTCCAGAACACATTCATAATATTCATGCTTCAGCAGACACATGTACCAGACTGCTGGTCTCGATAATGAGAACAATCCTCACAGGCTCTGACCCTCTGGTCTTTTTACTGCTCCCTTATCAAAGGTCAGTCCTGTTGATTGCTAAAGTTGTGATGGGTCAGACTGGAAGAACAAAAGAATACTGATGCAGATTCACATTAGAGATGAAACCATGAGGATTAAATGCATCAATTGAGATCGCCTTTAAGACAAGTGTTCTGTCAGCAGCCATTTCCCTTCAGTTGTACTGAATTTAAATAAGTCCATTAACAGCCCCTTTGACTTTTATAATGACAATTGCTGCCTCTTCTGTCCTCAACTCTTAAAATGGGATGCGTGATTGTATTAAAGAACATGTTACTGCAGTTCCAGGCAGCATGACTGTGTAAATACTGCTCCCCAGTGGTGGATTTGAGAACTGCAGTTTCTGAGTGTAACCCGATTCCCAACGCTTCTCTACAGTACGGGAAGCTGCTGAGCTGGTTGAAATGATAATTGCTGTATAAATCAGCCTACGTGAGCATTCATACATACACACACACACACAGGCAACACTATGGACCCGAATGCAAGAGAAAGTAATAATGAGCTCCAGTAGTGCTCCTGGTAATGTGCCAGACAACTTCACATTTCTGCACTCTAACACGCCCTCAGTCATTTGTTCTGAAATAAATCAACTGCAGTGTGAAAGTCCAGAGTGCCACACAGTGTGATAATAACTACATAAATGACAGACACCATCTATGAGGAAAAATATATGATGTGTACTTCAAATTTCCAATGTGCCATTTGCCAACATGGAGGACGCAGGGTTAATGACATGTACTGCAGCCAGTATATAAGACATTTTGGCTTCATTTTTGAGGAGCAGTCATGCTATCTACAGGGAAAACAAAAGACAAGACACGAGCAGGAACTAAAGCTGAAGCCACTCAGGAATGACAGGAACTATCAGGAAGGACAAAAGCACTCCAGGCCAGGATCAGACTCAAAACAAATGATGGTAATAAGGTTTGATACACTGACAGTCAGTGCAATCAGCTTGACTATCAAGAAAACAGCAGGCAAATCCACATGGAGACAAAACTGGTCATACACTAGGAGGACTGCATCCTTCCAAGGACGAGATCCAACCTGAAATGAGATGGTTTGGTCTACAAAAGCTTTCTGTGTTCAGCGTCAACAGCTCACCCCGCCCTTTTTGCTGCTGCCTAGCAACAGAGGTGAAGTTGGACATGACAAGAAAGTGATGCCCCCTGGTTTTTGAAATATTATAGCCTTAACTGTTTGCTTGAGTTGAAACGTGTTAGTCAAGCATTGGAAGTCAACATTACCTCTTTGAAAAGCGGTTTGTCAATGAATGCTGGGATACGTCTGGCCGAGACGGATCCATCCAACCTTTATTTCTCAGGGACGGAAGAATGCATTTGTCTTCAGCCCCTGAACTGAGACACATCTAAAGAGAAACACAGACTAAAATACTCACAGGGAGGAAGACAGCTGGACACAGGTGTGACACTTCAGGGCAGGTGCAGGTGAGAGGGAGGCACAAGAGGAGCAGGAAGTGAAGTGACCTGAAACGAGATGAGACGTGAGTATCAAAATAAAGCAGGAGACATGAGGGAAAACAAAAATAGTAACTTAAGTGGAGATGTGACAAAAACAAACTGACCTGGTCCCAATGTCTCATAGACTTTGAGGGGCGTTCCCAGTTTAAGTCTGTGAGGGCTCAGGGCTGTGCAGACAGACCAGGCCACATTAAAAACTATGTTTATATTAAAACTGAACTAAATAGAACTAGAATGGCCGTCAAGAGAGTGCATACCTCCACCAAGGCCCAACAGGCCCCCTCATGAAACTAAATTTAGCTTTACTGGTCCTGGCTTTTATTTGGATCTGGACCAATTGGCACACACTCATAAATATCAGTTTATTTAAAATCAGGAACCATAAATTACTCAATGACAAATCAATAAGATATTAAAATAATTAAATGTAAGTAAAATCTCTGGATTTGCCCTTCTGATCCGGATCTGCACAAATGTAATGGGTTTTTCTTCAGTAGTTTCTGCCAAATCCTACTAATCAACAGACAAACAAACAAACTGCCAAGAAAACAAAACCAGCTGGGTGAAGGTAAAAATCTGAATTATAAAACCTTTCTACCTGAAAGTGAAAGTATCATGTTCTATCATGGCCCACACCAGATTCTGTACTTTACTTCGAGGGCATTTCATTTGTGCAGTATTACACCGTTTGCCTGGGGAATAGAAACCACAAGTCCATGAAGAAACTAGCACACTTGCATATTCTTGTGTGTTATTATTCTGCACGGCCCCTTTTCTTTATAGCTGTCTTTACAGCCCGCAGCAGCACCAAAGGCACAGTAGATGAGTTTCATAGAGAGCTCGCTGAACAGAGCCTGAAGTTTGTTATTCATGTCATATCCGCCCCAGCGGGACCCAGCAGCTCCCTCTGAACACAACACACACACGAAGCAATTCACGAGCAGTCATTTTAAATGGAGCTCAATTAACGTAATATGTTAATATGTATGTTTCGAGGTTTAGTTCTTTGTTAATGTTGTTTTTGTTTCCTTTTAGTTTCCAAAATAAAATGACACATATGCTCACAAAGAGTTTGCCTCCCTATGTTCAGGGGATGTTAAATTAACCTAACCCTAACCCTAAACTTAATCTTATCCTGAACAGTTAAACATGTCTTGACCATGGACTTTATGGAGATGGACGACATGACTGCGAGCCAAAGCATATCAAATGCCACCTGGTGGCTGACTGCAGTACAAATCAAAAAACCCTGACTGTGATAGACATATAACATCAAAGTACACATCAAATAAATGATCTCAAAGAAGTTTTTATTTGTCCTACTACTTGTTTCTCGTAACTTAAGTTATTTGATGCAATAGAAGCAGACTGAAACGTCACAATAGAAAGCTGAGATTGTTCAAGCGAGTTGGATGACGCAGATTGTATACAGGATATTTTGGCTTCATGTCTGGATAGTGGGAGAAGGTGGAGATGTGTTGTTCATATTTATACACAGTCTATTGTCTCGACCTTTAAATTCAATAATTACCGTGAGGGGGTGAAGATAAGTCCCCATATCATGAGTAGTACACAAAACACACACATGCACACATAAATAAATAAGCTGGATGCCAACTAGAATGTATTAACAATATTTATTCACTACAAGTTTCAGTGTTATTGTTCCTATTTCTTTTCAACCCAACAGTAAGAACAAGATGTGTTTATATACATATTTACATATTGTTATTTTTTTACTATTGGCAATATACCACAGGTCATTATGTATCTATATATACAACCCATATACCACCTTGTGTACCACATGCCAACCTATGGCCAGGGTAGAAGATGAGATGTTAACTTAATCTGGGTTTAAAACCTCAGTAGATTTCTACTGATTGTGCTCTCTCTCCTCCATCGCAAATGGGGGGTAGAGTTAGTTTAAAATAATCTCAGTTCATCTTTTTTCCAGCATGTCATTATCTCTCTCTCTAGAAAGAATAAAGCCAGAATTCTTAGAAGAATAGTTATTCTTTCATTTAATCAGCCAGCGCTCAGGGCAGGGTCACTGGGTGAAACGCTGAGAGAAATCTACACGGACAGACGACTTTATTCTGAAAACACCGTCAGCCAAAAACAGATGGGTAGAGAATAACTGATATTTCATCTTTTGACCTCTATCGGCCTCTCTGTGTTTATGTATCAATGTGTGTGTATGAATGATTTACAGTTATCCTTGAGGGAAAAAGTGAAAATTAAAATATAGATAAATATATCTGTAAAAGCAGAGAGTGGGTTTGCTGCCATGGTCTGACCTGAAGTCATGAAGATGCGTGTTTGAAGTTGATCTTAACGTGTACATATTGCTGTGACTAATGTAATCGTGAATCAATAATGCAGATTTACAGGCCTACACATCTGACAACAATCTGTGAAGATCAGAGGTGACTGGTACTCAGTTCAATATTTGTGCCTCCATTGATGTGGAAATTAAAATACAACAGTTTTAAATGTAGACTTTTCCGGATTCTAATTTAACAGCTGGATTTTTCTTAATGTCAAATTCCATTAAGTTACACATGAGTGTTTGAATCACCAAGCAGGAAATTGCTTGAATGGCATGAATGTTTTTCCAACTTAAAAACTAAAGTGTGGATGAAATAGTAGCAATAATGAAAAAACTTTTTTCACTATTCATAAATCATGACATTGTATTTGTTAATGTTGGACCATTTAAAATGCCAAAAAGAAACTATAGAGGAATTACTTTTTATTACTCTCTTTCTAATCATAATAACACTTTAACAGCTCAGAGTAGTTTTTTTTCCAGTTGTGAAATTTGGTTAAAAGATAAATACAGTAGGTCAGAAACACAGGGACACTTTCTACCATGTACAGCATTGGTATCTATTATCGATAGTTAGACATCATCAGTGTTAAACCATACTGTTTCATTTATCCCACAACTGGTAATGAAATGGCAAAACTCATAAAAAAAGAAACAAAAACCTTCACTGAAACCAATAACACTTCTCTAACAAACCCAAAAAGAACCGTTAAAATTAAGACACATGATTTGTAAAATATGTATCAGTCAGACATGTAATGTATTTCCTTTGATTCACAATCTAGCCTACTGTTGCAGTTACAATATGTACAGTATAAAACAGTAGATGTTAGCCTTTGTCAAAGCGGGGGAAAAACCTTTTAAATATATATTGTATTATCTCTTTATAAAGCCATTATGAAAGAACACACCCTCTTATCCACGTCTTCTCAAAGCAGCACTGATGTGACATGAACCAGATCGGGACGACAGCGACGAAGACAAAATCCATCCGCAGGCTCATGTTCAAACCAGGGGGCGGCAGCGTTCTTTTTTGTAAGTGTTTTGTAAGCGTTTCATTATTAAGACTAATTGCTCGATACTCATAAGACAGCAGTTTTGATATAAAATGACTCTGAAAAGAGCAAAAATGAAAATGTTTGCATTCACTGAAGTAAAGTATAGCATGTGATGTATTGCACCCAACAAACCCCCCTCTCTAAGCCTCTAAGACCATTTGAATCACCATCATTTCATTTGTATACTTTCATCCTGACACACATTGGAACATTCACTTTCATTCACTATCGTTTTTGTCAATCAAAATAACAACTGAGACGAAATGATTAGAAGTAATTAATGATTAATTTTGTCATCCTAAAACAAAGGGACACATGCATTTATGTGAGAATTCGAGCTCTCTTCATTCTGACCATGCATGAGATGTAAATGCCTTGTGTTGCTTCCAGTCCCAAAAAGAAAGAAACCCCCCCACCCCACAATCATCACAATGATCCAGCCCTGAATAAGATCTGGGAATTCAGGCTCTGCAGGAAAATTTCCCTCCAGCTTTGTGAAATCATCCATGTGGGGAAAAAGTAGTTCCCACTGCAGCCAACAGAACAATCCATCCAATAAAGGGATGAATAAATTCCACGTAGTGCTCGTCCACAAAAGAGGTTCCTGTACATGAAGGAATTGGCATCAAATGAACTCTGTGCTTTAAAATCCCAGTTTGATTTGAGATAAAAAGGTGAGGACATACAGAAAGACACAGTTGTAAAGGGCAGTGGGCTGCTTCAGCCCATATTCTGTCTGTTTTTCGTCAGCGGATTTCAAAACATCTCAAACAAAAACTTGTTTAATCTCGTTTTTGCAAAATCAGATGTTAGACCAGCGAGCCCGCTCTGCTTTGGGCGGGCACCATGACCGGCACCGCCCCCATCCGCTCCAGGGTGGCCTGGCTCACGGCGTAGGAGTGCGTGTGCTGCCCGTGTGTGGACGTCACCACCGGTTTGAGGCTCACTGAGCCGTTGCTGCGCACCATGGCGGGAGGGGACGGAGCAGAGTTTGTCGTGACCACCAGAGTCTTGGGTGGTGGGAGCGTGTGGCTGCCATTGGCGAACGATGTCATCGTTGCCGTCGTGGGCTGCACATGGCGAGACAGCGGAGCTGAACCTGGTGCTGTGACCACTGGATTGTGGCCATGTCCTGCGTTCTGGGCCTGTCCATGTCCACCATGGGCAGCAGTGGAGAAGGTCTGGCGTGTGTCTCCATTGTAGCGAGTGTATGAGTTGGTGTCGTAGTTGGTTTTGGGGTTGTGCCAGTAGCGACTGTTGTAGGTGTTGGTTGATGTCAGCGTGTCGTTCTCCGAGGAGGACGCATCCGCGTGGAAAGCCTTCACTGATGAGGACCTCTTAGGGGGAAGGTCATCTTCTCTGTTGAGGAGAGATTTCAAAGGGACGTTGGTCACGAGTGGTTGAACAGACATCTACAACTTAAAAAGTAATTCGCATAAGTACACAAAAAAAACAATGAAATCAGGCAACACCCTCTGAAAGTGACACTTTTCAATGAACAACAGATGAATTATATTCATCCAGTCCCTTTTTATAAAAGGCTTTTTTTTTTTTTAATTGGCACCGAAAGCTTCTATGATTACATCATGGCTTTTAATTTTACCAAAAATGTAATCAGAGCAAAAACAGATGCTTATTTGAAATTCAACTCTGAATACTTGATGCTTCTTCACTCACTAGAGTTCATGTGAAGATGTCAGAAATATGAGAAGTGATAGCAGCAAGATTAGCAATTAGTTTGTCTTCAAATATTTAGCACGGATCCCTAATGTGAATCATAAAACATTTAAAGATTTTCTGTGCAGTCAAGTCGAAACTCACAGAAAATCTTAATCCTGTTTATTTATTAATTTCTGCTCTCACATCTTTTTGGACCCAGTCAAATACAGTGGGTGGTTATGATAACTAGAGCACCAGTGCAAGTAATTCAACAGCAACAAAGGTGCCAAAAACTATGCTGTTAACATGGTCGGAAAGAGGGAAAACATTATGAGATGTAAGTGGTGGGATTTATTAATGGCCTACTTATTTCATTCATTAAAAGGGATTTCACTAACTCACATTTGGAATAAATTTTAATTTCAATCCATTCATAAATTTCAACTACACTGGAAACATATAGTAAAAGGTACAGTGTGTAGAATTTAGTGACATCTAGAGGAGAAGTTGCATGTTGCAGCTGAATACTCCTCATCTCACCCTCCACTTCCCAACATGAAAGAGAACCTGTGGTGAACTTTAGTGCAAAAGGTTTTAGTTTGTCCAGTTTGGACGACAGTAAAAAACATGGCGGCCTCCACAGAGAGGACCCTCCTCCATGTAAATATAAAGTTTTTAAATATAAAGGGACAATTCTATGGCAAAGAAAAACAATTCATACAATTTAGATGATTAGTCACCAGTGAAAACATCAGTAGGATTATTTTATATAAAATTTCTGCCAAAAATCCCTTTCACCTAAATCTTACACACTGAACCTTTAATTCTCTGCTTTGAATTTGCATTTTAAATCATTGTTCACATAATTTTTTCTCTTTACTTGCGGGTAGAAACGTTTTCCTCCTGGTATCTTTGGTTGAAATGAAAGGTTTAGATTTTCTGTAAGTCGGAGAAAACCCAGTTATTGGTGGAAAAGAGTGAATATGGGATTTTAGTTGAGCCCACAACGAGGCAGATGTTAACCCAATCAACCAACGCTTTGGATATCTGAACAATGATTTATCTTCCAAATGATTCTTGGAGGGATTTAGAGGAGATATCACAGCCCATTTGTTCAAGTGGCACAGCTTCACAGACTGTTTGAACAGACATATTACTCCAAAAAAATTGCTGCCAGCAGATAAAATTAAGCGAAGCGCTCCAAACTTCAAATCTGCATTTTTGTCTTTCTTAGAGACCGCAACACTGACACAGTTATTATTCTGCAATGAAAGGTAGTTTCCACTCTGAGACAGTCTGATATAAATCTGCAAATAACAATCCCTTATTATTATTATCTATCATCTGTTCTTCTTGCACAGCAGCTTTCAGATTTCCTTTGACCGACCTGATCTCATTGGGGATCTCCTCCTCATCGTACTTGTTCTTGTTCTTCCAGTAGAAGAGCGTGACCACCGCTAAGAGGGAACAGATGATGACTGCCAGGACCCCGGTAGCAATGGTCCCTGCTATCAGACCCACACTCTGAGGCTGAGCTGCAACACAGGGAGACAGGTGGGGAGAGTTTCACAAAACTTCACCTAACAAGAACAATAACAAACATCATTATCATCTTCATCTTTATCATCATCAGTTTGTCTAGGGCCATTTGGGTTCAGTATCTTGCCCAAGGACACTTGCACAATGCACGATGGCAGGGCCGACAAATTTCTTGTTCTGCTCCACCTCCTGAGCCACATTATATAATGACTATTTTCACTGGAGTGCATTTCATAATGTGGGGGCTCTGAAAGGTTCAGTCACCTTTTATGTTACGAGGTGAGACCTGCAGATCTATCTATCTGATGCTATTACTCGCTCATTATTCCTTGGGTCAAATTAATAATATTGAGCAATATAAATCTTCGCTTGACTTCACTCAGCACATGGACCGTACATTTCTGAAACTTAAGGCTTGTCACGTTCTGTGAGCTTGGTGTGAAAAAAAGGGACAAAAAACATGTTACAGCTCTTCCTGTCAAACTGTCTGACCCTGACTGACCCCAACCCAAACTCTGTCTCTTCATCCGCTTGGTGTCAGAGACAGAGGGTGCTGCTGTTTGCAAGATGTTGTCCTTGCTTGTTTTTTTTTTCTTTTTTCATATATGTGTCTGTTTGACAGGAGTCATTCAAGGAGAAAACCTCTGACTTTACTCCCATCTGATTGAGAAAGACAAGAAACAATCCTCTCAGTCTGTCAGAGTGCACAAACTCAGGCACATATCAGCCAGCATGTATAGAACAATAACAGCTTCATGCTGATCCAGCAGAAAAGGCGCAGTGGACGTCAGCGTACTTACGTGCTACAACCTGCAGGTTGAGCAGACAGGTGCTCTTCCCAATAGCGTTGCTGGAGGTACATTGGTAGAGTCCTGAGGTGCTGGTGCTGATGTTTCTCAGTGTGACAGTCCCCTGCATCTGGTCTGGAAGACACACACACACACACACACACACACACAGAACCACACAGTAATTAAAGTGACTTTATCATGCAAACACTTTCCCCATGTCAAAGCACACAGACATACTGTGTGACATATTACATGAATAATAAACTGAACAAAGTCACTCACAAAATGTATAAAACATGAACTGATTTGTTTAAAGTACATTCAGCACATACACCCAAGGCAGACAAGTGAAGTGAACTGCTTTCTTTGACAAATGATGAATGGGTTGAGTTTTGAGATTAGAGCCACTGGGGTGTACACTACTGGATTTACAAAGCTTCGGTTGTAGCAGGTGAGCCAGATGTTCACCTGCTCTCTTGACAGGTGTCAGGTCTGCACATGTCAGACTAAACACACAAAGAGACAAGAGTGACAGCGAGCTGTCCATGATCTCTAATGTGAAATGCAAACAGTAGAAAATAACCTCAAATATCTGTGGACGAATACATGTGTTTGGTTTTTATCTCTGCCAAGGTGGTTAGGTTTTCCTCCCTGTCCATTCGTTTGTTTGTTTCTAAACCAGATTACACAAAAATAACTAAACAGATTTTCTTGAAACTTGGTGGAAGAATGAGGTCCAGGAAAGAACACATTAAAGTTTGGTGTGGATCCTGGAATTTTGTTATTCACTGTCTTTAACCTCGTGAGCATTTTTCAACATTCTCACCATTGTCCCAGGAAATAATTCACTGGGTCTTGATAATAACAACAACAATCTGGCATATTGAGGGAATAGTTTGTGAAATTTGGCACAGTTAGACTGAACTTAAGGAAACTGGTGGAGGTGTTTGCTCTACTGAGAGTCATTCTAGTTAATGAGACAGATTTAATGGAGCAACGAGAATTCTCCCAATATTCTGTAAAATTTGTGTAATTATCCAGTTTAAATTTAAATGCCTGGATCGACTGTGGATGATTAAGATTTTTCATCCCAGGATCTTGATAAGGTCGACAGTATGCGCTAACTATAATGTCACTAATGGTAATGGTAAGTAATCACAGAGGGAATTCATGTTATAGGTTAAATGTCCTGATGTAATTTAAGCAAATGTTAATTTTATGAATTTCTTTTTTCACGGCGAGCTTTCAAAGAGCTGATTTTCCGACATAAGTAGCATTTCAAAAACACTCTTTGTGGCTGAATTTGCTTATACTATTTATTTTACTGTTGTGGGAATCTGCTCTCTGCAATTAATGTGACCTCTTTGTATATCAACCATATATTGACAAGTAGTGTACAAACAACGAAGGTGACCGGTAATGAAGATTAGTTGAAGGTGCAATGGGCACAGCTGGAAAAAAAGAAAGGAGAGTCCACTACACTCGATCTCTGATGCTGAAAACCAACTGTCAGTGTAACACCCCTGCTCCTGCGAGCAGCTGGATGCATGGTAGTTCACCGTGTGGTTAACACAGGGGCAATGCAGCACCAGTCCAGATGACACAACTGTGCCAGAGTTGGTATTCAGCATGAGAGACGCCACAAAACTATCACTTTGCTTCAACAACAACAACAAACCCCTGAAACACACACGTTCACAGAGTCTGAATCACTCCATCCATCAATCCATCCATCCATCATCACCCCTCAGCAGGATCAGAGGAGGGGAACCTTCGGGCGGACAGTTGTTCGGGCCTGGCACATGACAGGTGGCTGTGATGGTGGGGTTGTTTGCTGAGTCTGAGCTACGCTATGTGTGTAAGATTTACCAGAGAAGGTGGGGCAAAAGGGAACTCCGATGGCCAGCTTGTTTGTAATACCTTGCATGGCGTTGTGCGGCAGCCTGGGCAGCGCGTCCAGCTTCTCCCAGGAGTAGGATGGCGTGGGAATGCCTTCCTCCGAGCTGCAGAGCAGCATGATGTCACTGCCTACATCCAGCGTGCCCTGGATTCGACACGCTGGCACAGATGGGGGCACTGGCAGATGGAGAGAGGGGGTGGTGTCGTGTTAACCACTTCATAAAGCAAATGTAACGTGTTCCTAATTGCAGAGGAAATTACATATTCATAAAAGCTGGAGATTCTCATATTCATGACAGTGCTGCTTACAGTTCTGTCTGAAAGGAATCTTCTGGTTACTTATAAACTAAAAAAATAAACTGATGATAATGTGTTTACAACGTTGTCTAACTTCCTTTAGGGCTCTGCAATTCACAGGATAGAAAAAACCTTGTATTGTGTAACCAGACTGTCTCTTAATGTCAGCAACAATTACAATCTATGTATAATTATGATGGAGATGTGAGGTTAGTTACCCAACACAGTGAGCCCAATGACGCCAATGTTGCGCCCCCCTCTGTCTGGGAGGTTGTTGACCAGGCACTGGTAGGTCCCAGTGTCGGACAGCTGGGTGTTGTTGATGAAGATGGAGGCACTTGTACTTGGCATGGTGGCCACGAAGCCCACACGGCCATTGAGGTGGTTGGCGAGGCTGAACACCTGACCGCCCTGGTAAATGATCACCTGCAGCGGGACGTCACAGTGGGGGGGAGAGAGAAAACAATGGGTGGGACCAGTTGGAGAGAGAGAGAGGGAGAGGGAGAGTTGAAGTAAACGGGAAGCAGTGGAGAAAAATATATTGAGGTCAGGGTAAAGAAGGTAGGGAAAAAGAAAAGAGGATAAATGTTAAGAATCAGAAACGTGTACATTTTTTAATCCTATCAAAAAACTTAATTTGAAATTAAACCAAACTTTTGTTACAGTCACAAAAACTCAATGCTCTCTGTGATTCGGAGAATTTGTACATTAATGTGATTATGGGACATTTCCTTTCGTGACCAGTTACAATCATCTCTCACTAGAGGGAGACACAGATCTACTAAGAGGCTGAAAACCACAGTGGACAGTGTGAGTGGAGAGAAAAGATCAGTGTTACATCCTGAGGAAAAAAAACAAACAAACAGACAAACAAACTAAAAAAAAAAAGACCTTTTATTTGTAAGTGGTCTTTCTAGCCCAGTGGATAAAGTACATGCTAAAAGTATGCTTTCATGGTAAGCTTCTTCAGATAAAAGCATCCACTTAATGTGTGTGTATGCATAATTGAACACATTTTAACTTCGAAACATATAAACTGCAATCTGATGAAACCAAGAGATGAAATGGAGGCAGCGTTCTGCAGAAGGAATCAGCTACAGTGCCAATTCAACCACAGCTTGTACAGATGAATTTGCTCCTTCAGGTTGAGGTGAGCTCGAGTCAGGCCCCAAAATAAAGTGCAGTGAAGAATCTTTCTTTTTTTTTTTTTTTTTTTTTTTTTCTTCAAAGCCTTTCTCTGGCTTCAAACTTGGTCTGAACAGCTCGTTTGTGAGGCCGAGCCACATGCAAAACAGCTCTCACCCCTCAGCTGGGCCCACAAAGATGAAGAGGACACACACATATACTCATGCACAGCACACAAGCCAGTCAATCACACGCACACTCACCAGCTCACATGCAGACACACACACACACATGCACACAAAGCATGGAGGGGAATCAGAGGGGCTATTCACTTTGGTGAAAAGAGCTCTCATTGAACTGTTCAAAGACCCAGGAAGGGAAACAACCAGCACCAGTGTGTGTGTGTGTGTGTGTGTGTGTGTGTGTGTGTGTGTGTGTGTGTGTGCGTGCGTGTGTGTGCACATGTATGTATGCGTGAGAGTGATAGTTCTGATAGTCTGATGAAAGTGTGTATGTGACTGTGTCCTCCATCGCTACTTAACGGTTGTAAATTGCACGGCTGCAATTTCCTGAGAGCAGTACGCTCGCTTTGTCCTCTTATGTGCACATGAATAGGCAGCTCCTCAGCTGTGATGAGAGTCTGCAACTGCATCTCCTCTGTGTGTGTGTGTGTGTGTGTGTGTGTGT